AAGAAAAACAGAGGAAAATATGTAATATGCCGTTGTTTTTTATTTTTGGAGAAGAAGCCGGCGGATGACAATGATAATACGGAAAAATAAAAAGGCTCCACAGACGTAACGCCAGCTGAAATTTCTTCAAATCTCCGCAACTCTCTCACTTTTGTCATTTGTGTTCCTTCAGCTCTGAGCTCAGATCCTGGCCATCCTTTAAAGTCTCAACTTTCAAGTCAAGCTGGTGGTAAGCTTCCAAAACTCACTTTTGTCATTTGTGTTCCTTTAGCTCTGAGCTCAGATCCTGGCCATCCTTTAAAGTCTCAACTTCCAAGTCAAGCTGGTGGTAAGCTTCCAAAACTCTCTTTCATTTCGTTTCAGTCTTATATTTCTTTCAGCTCTTTGCATTGCCGGGAGTCTCAAGCAGGTTTGATTCACTTCATACTTTCTTGTTCTTCTTGCATGATTTAATATGTTTGTAATTTTTTTTTTTCAATCAATTTCTTGTATTTTTTAAAAGACAAAATCTTTAGATTCTTGAAACATGCAGTTTCCTTTTTCATTTGATTGTTGTGTCATGATCGTGGATATGGGATTGCTTATTGAGATGGTTGCTGATGTGAAGTCGTAAGCTCTAAAATATGCAATTTTCTTTTTCATTTGATTGTTCTATCATGATCGTGGATATGGAATTGGTTATTGAGATGGTTGCTGATGTGAAGTCATAAGCTGTTTGGCTGCTGAGAAAACGGAGGAAATAAATTAAACTAAAACTTTGAAGTGTTAAATCTCCTATTGCTCACTTGCTCGTCTCCAGAAAGGAAAAACAAAAACAGAAGAAGATCAACTCAGTTTTTGAAGTGTTTATAAAGTTCAAAGTCACACACAATAGTTACTTATTTTCTTCTTCTTTTTTACTTTTAAAATAAAAAAATAAAAAATCTTGGTATTTGTTTTAGTTGTTCTTTGAAAGCTGACTTATTTATAATTTTACGTATTGATTCTTGCTGATACTCTTCATTTTCTTAACAGTTGACTGATAAAAATGGGGGAGGAGAATTCTGGGATTGCAAAGGATGTCACTGAAGTAAGTTGTACCCCATTTAGTTTCATAATGTTTAACCATTTTGGTATCTGAATATTATATGATATTTTGCTGATTGAATGTGTTTATACATTGTGATTGTTGTACAGTTAATTGGTAAAACACCATTGGTGTATCTCAACCATGTTGTAGATGGCTGTGTAGCAAAAATTGCTGCTAAGCTGGAGATGATGGAACCCTGCTCTAGTGTCAAAGACAGGTTTAACTAATTCTGATTGGAATATTTATCAGTTGCACACACTGCAATTGTTTGATTGGGATTTTTTTCATGAGACTGCTTTGTTCAGTGTTATTGTTGTGAAGTTGGACTTTTATATAAGCTGAAGTCAATTCCAAAGTGGGTCTCCAAGAGAAATTTCCATGGCCCAGTTACATGCAATCAGTTGAAAACTTAGAATGATGATTTGTTCATTGTAGGATCGGATACAGTATGATTAAAGATGCTGAGGAGAAAGGTCTCATTAAGCCGGGTGAGGTTAGTATTCATGTCTTCCTTATCTGGACAAGTGAAATAGTTTTTCTGAATCCAAGTGGCGCCTGTGTTTGAAACTCAAATAGAAATGTCTGTTATTATCTGCTATGATTTCTGCCATTCAATCCCCAACTTGGTTTAGATATCAGTCAATCATTTGCAATTTCTTCTTTCAAGTTTTATTTGTGATGTTCCCTCTGCGTGTGTAATGTAACAAATTAAAATGATAGGTATTTATCTTTACTTTTTCATGGTCTAATAGTGTTCTGGTTCTGTTTGTGTAATTAATGAGGTAAAGGAGAAACTTTTGATTTGACAATTTTTTCTTGTTTCATGTTGTAGAGTGTCCTGATTGAACCTACGAGTGGCAATACTGGCATAGGATTGGCATTTATGGCAGCTGCTAAGGGTTACAAACTCATAATCACCATGCCTGCTTCAATGAGTCTCGAAAGACGAACCATTCTTCTAGGATTTGGGGCTGAGCTTGTCCTCACAGATCCAGCCAGAGGCATGAAAGGGGCTGTTCAGAAGGCAGAAGAGATAGTGGCAAAAACACCCAATGCTTATATGCTACAGCAATTTGAAAACCATGCCAACCCAAAGGTGAAAATTTTATGCCATGTTTTTTTGTTAATATAACTTGCTGTCTGGATAGACTGCTGGAAAGATATTTCTGGTCTGTTCAGGTACACTATGAAACTACTGGACCAGAAATCTGGGAAGGCTCTGGTGGTAAAGCCGATGCCTTTGTTTCTGGGATAGGAACAGGAGGTACAATAACAGGTGCTGGGAAGTACCTCAAAGAGCAAAACCCAAACATCAAGGTTGGCCGTCTCTTTGCATGTTATAATTTAGAGGATAATAATTATTCAATTTTTTTTTTTATAACGCCTATATCATTATTTCTCATAGTACTGACTTGCCCCTTGCTTTATATGTTTAGCTCTATGGTGTAGAACCAGTTGAAAGTGCTGTTTTGTCTGGAGGGAAACCCGGTGAGTCATGATAACCTGCTTGTCACGAGCACATGGGTGTTGGCCCTTTTGATCTGGGCTGCAGGCTCATTATTTAGAGTTCAATAAACTTCATTTTTCAGGCCCAAGTTAAATGTCTGTAAAGTGGACCTGTAACTGTCCCTTAAGAATTTCAAAAGAAAAGTTACCTAGATACCCACATGCTAGAAAATTAGTGTTAATTGACAATCCTAGATTCAGACTAGTCTAGCGTCAGCAGATGATATTGAGTACAAACTGTTCGCTAGAGAATTTTCGCAACATCTTCTCATATTCTCCTTTTCTAAATTTGATGATCTGTGTACTTCTTTGTATCTCAGGCCCTCACAAGATTCAAGGAATTGGTGCTGGCTTCATCCCTGGAGTTTTAGATGTCAACTTGATTGACGAAGTTATTCAAGTAAGCACTAAAACTTGTACTTGGCATTAATTTCCACTGAAGACTTGAGGTTATTAATTGTAATGATTGATATTTTTGAAGTCATACTACAATTATTTTATTTTTTTGGTGGGGGCTTTGTTTATCCTCCTTAAGATAATCTGTCTAGAAAATATCATTGTTTGAGCTTTTAATTTCATCGCAAGACTTATATGAGTATGCTCATGATGATATTGGTAAGTTATATGCAGTGCCACTTTTTTCATTAATTTTGTGAAATTGAAAACTTTCCTTCCAAGCTGCAAGTTTATATTTTGAGAGCTAAACCAATCTTTCTACGGCTTTGCAGATATCAAGTGAAGAAGCTATAGAAACTGCTAAGCAGCTTGCATTGAAAGAAGGTTTGCTGGTAAGTCCACAACCGTGAATGAACTGTTTGAACAAGAACTTCTTTTGGTTCTTTTAGCATGTTATTGATTCTGTCATGAATTTTACAATCTTCGGTATTCTGGTTTCCTTTGGTTGCTTCCATTGTTCCATCTTTTCTATTTTGATTTACGATTGACATGTATTGCAGGTGGGGATATCATCCGGTGCTGCCGCTGCTGCTGCGATTGAAATTGCAAAGAAGCCAGAAAATGCTGGAAAGCTCATTGTTGTAAGTCATATTATTAACTGCAGTAGGTTTTTAACAACGTATTGGACCACTGAGCTTGTTGTTTAAGTATGTTTCCTGCATAGTTTGCACAAATTGACAGGAATGGTACTATCCCTTAAGATTGACCGGATCACCTTTTCATTTCTAAATGTGTACAGGTGGTCTTCCCCAGCTTTGGAGAGCGTTATCTATCCTCTGTGTTGTTTGAATCTGTGAAGCGGGAGGCTGAGAATATGGTTTTTGAGCCCTGAGATGTTCTGTAGCTTCGAAAGGAACTGTACAAATTTCATGATTTGCGAGGCAGAGAGTATGATTATCAAGCTGTGCCGTCTTTTCGCTTTGACTGCTTTTGCTTCTTGACATGAGTCTCAATAAATGCTATGAAGAATAAAGTGCTGCCTTTTCTGTTTGTAATAGAATTTGAAAACAGTTTGTATGGCTTACTAATTCAAGAACCTTTACATCCTTGTGAGATTATTCAAGTTGGTATGATGTGTTTTAAGAAAATTAGCAGCATTTTCTCATAAATATTATGCAAGGATTGGTATCAATGAAGCAATTTATGGATGGTTAACAGAAAAGGTCCAGTCGAATTTTACTAAAAATTATTTTTGCATGTCACTGCAGAATTGAAGGGATAAATTAATATTTACTGGACTTTGTATTTATATTAAACTAACCGACAAATGTAAAATCAACTTGAGGAAGCAAAGTAATGGATGGAAACATACTGATTTAGAATCAATTCTGAATGGATATATTATACCAGACAAAAAGGTGAAATGAGGGATGAGCCTATTTTTCTAGCCAGCAGTTGAAAGTTGATACTGAATTGAGGCAGGGGCCGCGCGAACGCAGGCCCCAACTACAACAAATTATGACGTTGGCTCTCCTACGTTGAGGAGACCATAGGCGGGCACCCCTCCTATGTGCAATGGAGGTCACCAACCTAGGCCATGAGCCTTCTTGATCGCCCATAGACCTCGTCCAGGTAAGTATGTTTCAAAGTGCCCCTTGTTCCTCTTTAATACACCAGTCCCGCTTTCCACTTTTTGTGCATTTCCAATGTGGTACTTGAAGCTACTGGCCAAAATGCTGGAAAAAAGTACCAGAGACACATACGATTTGACAAACTTAATTAATCTAGAGAAACACTAGACTCTTCTTTCCCTTTTTGAAATATTGAGCGTCATGGTTATAAGTAAAATATTAAGGAGCATATACGAAAAGTAAAACCTTAGCAATGAAAAGTTGTAGGTTTTCTCCTCCAATGTCCAACACAAAATAATAAAGAAAATAAGAAAGGAAACTGGTCATATATAGTCTCATATATCAACAAAGCCCCACTAGTGTAGTAGTTTAGTATATTATTGCCCATTTCAATAGAAAATGTTCTCAAAAAAATAGTCCCATAAATAAGGATTTTGTAGGTTTAGGTGCCCCCTCGGGCTACAATATAATTGACAAATACAGCTGCTGATGTGGCTCGAGTGAATTTCACAATGAATGATTTTCTGGGTGTGAATTAGTTGCAGCATATCAAAAGCTCTGTCCACTGACATCATAAACGCATTTAACCTCAACAATTTGCCTTAACAGCAGCAATTAGTTTGCGGGATTCAGGAGCAGCAGCAGCAAAAATCAACGAGAAATCACAGACGAAGTAAATATAACAGCAGAAACTAATGCAACGGACCCAATATTTTTTGGGTTTAGCCCCCTCTATTTAGTCAATAATGTGAGACCTACCTTTTTTTCGAATAATTTGGTAATGGGCCTTTTACGTTGAGAACTTGCAAGAAAGTTTGTCCATAGAATTGACAGGGGCCGCGCGTACGCAGGCCCCCACGGCAACAAATTATGACGTTGGCTCTCCTACAGTGAGGAGACCATAGGCAGGCACCCCTCCTAAGTGCAATGGAGGCCACCAACCTAGGCCATGAGCCTTCTTGATCGCCCATTGACCCCGTCCAGGTAAGTATGTTTTAAAGGCACCACATCTTCCTATTTTATACTACGCGCATACCACTTGTTTCTCTTGTTCTTCGATGTGGGACAACCAAAATTACCGTGGTTTCCTATGTTCCAAAATACATGGGCACTGCTCCATGTTTCTTATTGCTGTGGCACCGAGTATCGATCAAACAGAGACAATATTCTTCGACCCAATATATAATAAATCTCTTAAGTTTTCCTTTCTTTTGTGGCACCGCCTCAACATATATCTTACTCAAGGGTGAGAAAACGCATGGTTCGAACACCACACATAAAGGTTTGGTTTTTATGGTGTAAATTGTTCTTAAGACCATAAATCTTCAAACCAGATTTCTTCTTTCTCCAGAATTCGTAGTTGCTGTGCCCTCTCTCTGCTTATCTATTGCTTGTATAATCAAAGCAGTCTTCAGATCATAATTTCATGAAACCTTCAAATTCCATAAAATCAAAGTGAAAATTATCAAATTCACATACAACTCCAAGGTTGTGAAAATTTACAAAATCAAGGCAATTACGTCGGAAGAAAATAATCTATTTTTTCAATTTAAAGAAGTTCGAAAAAGCTTGGGATTATCTTTGAGCAGGGGCTGCGCGAACGCAAGCCCCCATTGCAATAAATTATGACGTAGGCTCTCCCACTTGGGGAGACCTTAAGCTAGCACCCCTCCTAAGTGCAATGGAGGTCACCAACTTAGGCCATGAGTCTTCCTGATCACCCATTGACCCCGTCCAGGTAAGTATGTTGTAAAGTTGCTCCTTAGTCCTTAGTTATAGCTCGTCCTCTGGTCTCTTAATTGTTCTTTTATCGATGTGGGATCCTTGCAAATATTGACCCCCTCCTATCCTATATGCAAGCTGAGACTCAACCCCGCCCTAATCTCCACATTGAGATCTTGTATTGGATACAAATTATAGGCCTTAACTGAACCACCGGGATGAAATCTAATATGGGATGATAAGAGTTACACAGAGTTCTCCTGCATTACTACTTGCTTTCTTGACGAGCGGTGTTCTTCTATATGCTCCAAAGTTACACTTATATTATTTTTTGTTACACTAGGACTTTGATGAGTCAAAGATTGACCAATTCAACGAATAAATTGAAATATTGAGATTTTTTTTCTTTCTCAATTATATTCCTAAATTCATAACAATCAAGTATTATCTTTATATTTTATATATACTACGCATAACAGATAACAAAATCAATTAACTCAATAGAATTATCCTCAAATTCAAAATTCGAAATAATCAAATATTAGCTTTATAGTTTATATAGACTCAAAGCATAAACTTGTTTTTTCATAATTAATATATAACAAAATAAACAAGGGAATTGGAAAATGACTCACAACTACATTCATTATTTGTCATTTGCCACATTACATCATGGGTGACACAACCCATTTCACCCGTTAAGAATTTTTTTTAAAATAAAACCCAAAACTACTGCGCAGCCCCCTCTTCCTATTTCTCTCCTCTTTCCCCAATCCATAAACCTCCCTTAAGGACACAACTAGTGAGGGAGAGGGTTCGCTGAAGGAGGAGGAGAGAGAGGGTGGCACAATGAGAGAGAAGAACATTAAAGAAAGCTATGTTTGGTTTCTAAGAAAAATAAAGAAAAATAATGAAAAGAGAAGAAACTTACAGAGAGAAAGACAGTGGCAGAGTCGGGGGAATGGGGGAGGAAGAGAAGAAAGAGAATGAGAAAAAAAGAAATATAAATTTACAAAAATGCCCTTAAGCTTTAACTGGTTAACGAATATTTGCGAATTTACACGACACGACTTGTTAGTTTTTACACGACACGACTTGTTAGTTTAACATGTATCTAACAGGTCAACACAACACGATAACTTAGACCCAAATACTGAAATTTTCATGCAAATTATTGTTGTGTACAATATTACCAAATCTACTTAAAATCACTCTTTGGAGATTCAGAATCACTCCCATACAAGATGAAATAGACATAAAAGAAAGAAACAAAATTTAGAAAATAGAATTTAGGAGGGCCGCGCGTACACAGCCCCACTACCACAAATTACGACGTACAGTCTCCTCTAGGGAGATGTTAGGCAAGTGCACCTCCAAAGTGCAATGGAAGCCACCCACCTAGGCCATGGGCCTTTTTGATCACCCATAGACCCCGTCCAGGTATGTAATTTTTATCGTGGTCCTTAGTTTTGTATTTATTCCCCAACACTTATCTCCACCTTCTGTACGTTTCCAATGTGGGACATTAGACCCAACCAAGGATTTCTGGCACTCCCTAATTCATTACCCCATTATTTTATGGTCCTTGTGCTTCATCAAATTTGTTGAAAATGAAGAGCTTGAGATTGATGCTGCAGCCTTAACTTTTTAGCTTTGTTTCCAATTTTTAACCTGCAAAACCAATACTTGCATCGCTTGCCCAGTATTAAGTTCTAAGCCTCTAACTATGATATTTCATATAGACAAAAAAGCAAGATTTCAAAACATGAAATTTCTATAAGAAATGAAGGATGGTGCTTGAGCAAGTGAAGCTAGCTGAACTCAGTTCATCAATTGCTTAAGTCGTCCTTTTTATTTATTTATATCAAAGCCAGGAAAAGGGGATGTTTCTTTACTTACTGTGCGCAGCCATTTAAAGCAAGAATAGCAATTTGCTCACCAAGCTGGAAATGGATAACCAGCCTCACCCCTCTCAATATCAACACCAGAGTATTCGAGTACAAAAGGGCGGGCTCACTACCGTCACTAACACCAGAGCCAAAGTCTTTTGATAGAAACTTACAACAAACTTTACAAATTATAATTGGATAAGAAGAACCAAACACCAGACCAAAGTCTCACAATTCTTTATAGCAACGAACTCTACCTATTATAATTGGCCAGGAAGAACCTAACCCCTTGAGAATGAAAATTACATTTGGGTATCAGATTGGCACGAGAATTACTGCTTTTTCCAAAATATTGCACTGAAATTTAGGCAGGGGCTGCGCGAACGCAAGCCCCCACAGCAACAAATTATGACATTGGCTCTCCTACTAGAGGAGACCATAGGCAGGCACCCCTCCTAAGTGCAATGGAGGTCACCAACCTAGGCCATGGGCCTTCTTGATCACCCAGAGACCCTGTCCAGGTAAGTATGTTCCAACATCCTCATCCTTCTATATTTATACGCGCTCACCTCAAGTCTCCAGTCTTTACTTGGGCGATGTGGGACAAGTACACGCATATTGGTTTAACTAATTGTGCTAGTAGTATTGCAAAGCAAGTTCCCTGGTTTCACTAATTGCTCCGCAAAGCGAGTTTTATTAATAATTACAACTTGTGTCCCTTCCAGCAGGCTAGTGACTTTCTATTTTCCACTTCTTTTTTTTACCCTTCAAGCTGTAGATCTTTTCCTCTGTTAGTTTGCATTTTTCTTTGTACATTTCTTGCATGAATTATTAGATGTCAGTTTAGAGATTTATGAAACGAGGAATGAGAACGGCATAATTTGTACATACTAAAGATTGTTTTGTGATTTTCAAGAATACAAGATGAGGTCAGGGAGAGGGACGCAGGCTTGCATATGAACAAAATAACGACAACAGTACAACCTGTGTTTGAACTTCTCAATAAATAAATAAAAAGGGCACTTTCATGGCTTGAATGGGTCAAGATATGACCTTTCAAAAGGATCATTTTTTGGGCTCATCTTGTATTCTTGAAAATCAGTATGTGATTCACAATTGCTGTCACAAAACAATTAATATTTTCACGCCAACAGTTTTATGGTAAAAAGTTAGTGGTTTAGTAAAAGTGAAAAAAATGAAGAAGTCGGCAATTAAAAAAGAGTGGTGATTTCCCCATTCTAATTTTATCCATTTACACTTCATTTTATAACTGAAAAATGAGTATAAGTAGATAAAATTGGAGTGGGGAAATCATAAAGGACATTTATCACTTTGTGGTTGAGCCACAATAAAAGGTGAAGAGTAGTCCCTCCTTACGGGTAAGGAGGGAAGTATTGTCAATAAAAATAAAAATAAAATACTTATATAAAAAAAACCAAAATAACTCCCATATGTGCCTCATGGAAGTGCAAAGAGCCAAACTTGAGAAATAGACTTTCTAAACCAGTAGTTAGCATTTCTCTCACTGAAACAAAGTACAATACAATATTTGCATTGAAAACTGCTTTCTTTCTTCTCTATCTTCCCTGCAGAGATAAGGTTTCCTCTGCTGTACTTTCTTGGTGGTTCTTATTTGATTTCCATTACTTGGTATTTCACTTGTACTTGTTCCTAAAATTCTGCAGAGTTTTGTTCTTGGTCAACAGCTGGGTGTAAAAAATTTCATTACCAGTGCTTCAAATTTTGAAAATCAGCTTGTTAATATTGGATACAGTTCTAAACTATTAATCTGTCTGGTGCTATGTTTATGGTCATTAAATTAATAATTGGCTTTGAAAAAACTTTGACTTTTGGGCTATCGGTGGTTTGGTCAAAAGGCTTGTACTTTGGGATTGCATTCAATATTGGGTAACTGAAACCTTTTTCATGAGACTGCTTTGTGTGAGTATTGATTCTGAACAATTTTGGGTAAAAGTAGTGCCTTTTTGGTTCACTCTTTTGAAAACCTTCTTGTGATATTTCTTTGATCTCTGTTTATATATTTTTGGCTGGTTTCCGACCGTTCATAATTGATGTGAATCATCTGCATATTTGGCGTCTTCTGATTCTGTTGACTACTCTTTTTCTATTTCCAAGGTCTGATTATGATGTTCATGAAGCTTGATTGAATTTTATTTTCTCATTTTGTGTGTGTTTATTTTGTTGGGTTGGTTTGTTTTTACTTGTTTTTACTTCAGAGTTATAATTTTCATTTGTGTATGGATGTATGAAGCCACGTTTTACTAAACGTTGTTGTACCTGTATACACTGTACAGTATTGAATGTAAAAATAGCTATCTTGGATTTTATTTCAGGCAAATGATGTCCTTGTTAGG